ATCGTACTGGGAGAGCCATCTTGCATCCCCGGTCACAATCCGCGTATGAAAAATGAAAAAAATTCCGTGTTTTCTACCCACTTTTTCAAAATTTTCATGAAAAAAATATGCCCTAGATTCCTGCTGATCTGTGCGCAACAGCTTTGGAACTCATATTGAGCGGAGGGTTTGGTCAGTTCAGTGATCAGGCGCAATTCTGCCCATCTGCAGAATTGCGTGTATGGAACTGACGGAGATGTCGTGTGTCTCTGCTACTGATTCGGTGCTTATTCGCCAATCTTTTTCTACAACTTCACGAACAGCATCATTGGTTTCCACACAAACTGATGTGCGTGGCCTGCCTCCTCGGGGGTCATCTTTGGTCTCTTTTTTTTCTCTTCTGGAAGTAGTAATCCATTTGTCGGTTACTGATTTATTTGAGTAACTGTCACCATTAACTCGTTTCGGAGAGTCAATGATTTGGCTGTTCTTCCATCCCAGTTCACCATAAATTTGATGTTCGACCAGGCCTCGATTTCGGCAGATGCCAAGTTGCACGAACGGTTGTTGCTTCTAATGCAGGATCCCGCATTTGTATCATTAATGTAAGGGTTCTTGTGAGAACACGTTATAAAACATTGATACAGGATCGTTCTGGTGCATTGACACCGTTTTCCTTTCAGAGAATTATCAGTTATGTCCATTTTCCACGAACTTTATGAAGCCCCTCGAATAATTTTTCTAGTTAATTTTTTACTTTTGAGTACTTTGCAGGAGCACATTAATTTATTCATGATTTCATGTCTAGTTTAACAGATTCGTGTCATAATGGCTTTAAATTGTCCTGCCATTTATGTCTAATTTAATAATGATCTAGTTACTGTACGCTTTTATTGAATGTATTTAGCATATCTGCATATGTATGCTTCAAATAAGAGTCGTGTGTGAACTGTGAAACATACTGTGGTCCAATACGTCGAACTGTGATCTCGAAGCCCTGGGTTGTGTTCAATACATCACATTGTAAAGGGCTCTGTGCTCAAAAATGTGAATTGTTCAGCATTCAGGGCTCGAAACGTCGAACTAAGAAGGATTTAGTGTTCAAAATGTCGAAATGTAGAGGCGTTCAGTTTTTGAAAACGTCGAACAAACGATCATCAATGACGATATTTCGTTGCACTGTATGCCGCGATCAATTTAACGCCACGCACCGGTGAGGGAACCTTCCTGGCAAATATCGTTGAAACAACATTGATTAGTAGTTTATTACAATGAAACAACGTTTAATCAACGCTAGTTGCTTTGTGTAGAGATTCTACTGCATGCTACGCGCTGCTAATAAGTAGATTGCCGTCGGCTCCACAGTTACATGGCGGCCAATTATGCTGCTTGGCTCTTAACTTGGTAGCCAATTTAAGAGGCGAAAGGAAGTTAGGTTTTGCTTAATTTTGAAGCGCAGACCGCGCGCGCGCGCTTCATTGCTAATGCAGCGCGCACATCTGCTTCTGCCCAACTTTTGGATGTTGGAGGGGAGGGAGAGGAATGGGGTGCAGTTGTCCTAGCAGTATTCTTTATAGCTGTGACCTAGCACGTCACAGCTGCTTCCTGCCTCTTAGTGCTTCTGCACAGCTGCTTCTTGCTTCTTAATGCCTCTGCACAGCTGCTTTCTGCTTCTTAGGGCTTCTACTCATCTACTTTCTGCCTCAGTGCACAGCTGCTTTCTGCTTCTTAGTGCTTCTACTCATCTACTTTTTGCCTCATAGTGCACAGCTGCTTTCTGCTTCTTATATAGTGCTTCTGCACAGCTGCTCTCTGCCTCTTAGTGCTTCTATACTCAGCTGCTTTCTTCCTCTCAGTGTCACCGCTCAGCTAGAGCAGGATTTTTTTTTCATCTCAGCGGTCCTGCATGGCCGTTCCTCGCCTCCATATCGCTGCGGAGCTGACAGCTGCGGCACGCTATCTCGTCAACTTGTGACGCAACTGCTCCCGCAGAACTTCAGTCTAATGTGTAGCCAACATCGCGGCAGATGTGTCCACTTCTCCATTTTCACTTCCGATGTATGTCCTTCAACATCGCAGCAGTTGTGCACACATCACCAACATCACTTCCGATGTATGTCCTTCAACATCGCGTATATGCGCCTTCTCCCAACATCGTGCTTTTCCGCTTCCGTCACCCTCTTCCAACATCCCACATGTGCCTACCCCTCGTTCAACATCACAACTGTACTCCCCTCTCCTCCATTCTGCATTGCAGATGTAGAGGGGAAGAGGGTTCTTCCTCTCTTCCCCCCTCGTTTCAACTTGCCGCGTTTCCTCAGATGTCGCGGACGCCTCAACTTGATGCGCTTGAGCCTCACGCCTGAACTTGCGTTGCCTCTGTTGTCATCCCTCTACGTCTACCCTTACCTTTATCACCCTATTACATTCGCAGTTTTCCTTTCTCTTCCCCTTCTCCCACATAACTCTTAACGTTTCCTTTCTATCTCTCCATCTCCCTCCCTCTTTCCCTCTCTCTATCCTTCTCCATCTATCTCTTTCTTCATCTCCCTCCCTCTTTCTCTGTCCCTATCCCTCTCATCCCTTCCTCTCTCCACCTCTCTCCCTCTATCTCCCCTCTTCCTCTCTCTTCCTGTCTCTCTCCATTTCCATACCTCGGCATGAGGGTAGTGTGGTACTCATATGACCTTAAGACGAGTTTAGGACTTGTTTTCCACGGTCACGCTGATGCACCGCCTAGCTTCGTCATCCTCCGTCTCTAGGCCGTCGATATGCAGGTCGCCACGCTCTCGGGTGCCGGAGGTAACGTTGAACGTGTAAAAGACAGGTTACTTGTAAGCAGTGCTGCCGCTGCTGTATAATGACATCTTCCGCGTATGTTTATCATCGTGTACTAGTTCGTGTGCATGCGCTGTGAGGCTACAATTTTCAGTGATTTGAACTGTCATCGCAATTGGTGAAGTAAAGAACGTTGTTCTAGATTCTAGAAGAGCAATAAGAATAAGAATTGCGCTCTGGTATTCAACAACACCCTCAGCTTCATTATTTGTACGATTAATACCAGTTTACAACATCAGCGTCGTGAAATTGCACTCATAGAGGTCAATGGGTTATATTGACCAAATAATGACGCTCTGTCTTACCCAAAGCACCATCATACGGCGTACGTAGCTGTGATACGCACTTCTGCCAGGCCAGAATGACCCATACAAGTTGAAATAGTGCATCGTTATTTGGACAAAATTTCACACATTTCTCTGAGTGTGATATGTGTGACATCTTCATGGAAGCTGCCAGCGTCTTGCATGAGTGATGAGAACATTGCGGCTTACAGGCGCGGCTCTAATACCGCTGCTTACCGGCCACTGTGGTGCTGTGAAGCTCATCTAATTGTTCCTTTAGCCTGCTTGATGAAAGCCCCTGGGCTGTATGAGCTCTGTGATAATGCTGCGTCTGGGTTATGGTGCAGTAATGCTGCGTGTGGGTTATGGTGCAGTAATGCTGCGTGTGGGTTATGGTGCAGTAATGCTGCGTGTGGGTTATGGTGCAGTAATGCTGCGTGTGGGTTATGGTGCAGTAATGCTGCGTATGGGTTATGGTGCAGTAATGCTGCGTATGGGTTATGGTGCAGTAATGCTGCGTATGGGTTATGGTGCAGTTATGCTGGTGATGTGTATGTAAGATCTGTAGTAATTTTAAATGCTGCGATTTTGGGTTCAACATTAATGATGATCACAGCTCGCGAACGTATATGAAATTACTTATTACGTACATTAACGTCTCTTCTGGAGAAACTATATAGGGTTTTTTCTGCATCACTTGTGTGATGATGACATTTATATTTAGAACTCCCAGTATCCTGCTTGTTCTCCTTGATGTTGATGTTATCTCGGTAATGTTGCTAGAAGCCTTCACTCATGTTTGTGCAAGTGGTCGCAATCTTGTTCTTAAAAACCCTCGCCCGTAAAACTTCCTTTTTACAGATGTTTAGCTTTGCTCGTTAAACTGTGGCCGGCTAATATTTCTAAAGTTTATCAAAAAATTACTCTTGTTAGATTCCTCTTGATCTCGCTTGCGATATCTTGAGAAAGTTTCATTATTTTTTCCTTTAAAGTCAATATCTTGCTTGTGAAAGTTAAAATTTTCCTGCCTTTTATTCATTGAAGACTACTTTGAAGAGCCGTTAACTTCTTGCTCAGTCTTGACTTCTTAGGAGATCGCATTGAAAAACCCTAGTAAAGAATTGAACTTCCTTAACTTCTCTTGCGAACTTTCCAATGAAGAAAGTTGTTGAGCGTGTCGTTATGATCTACCCTTAATGGCTAGGTTATTGTAAGACTTGCTCTTGTTATATAGTAAAAAAACGACAAGCTTCGCTTTTATGGGACCGTACTGGCAAGACTCGCCGAAGCACACGTAGCGGCCAATTTTTTCTGTGTGATTGGTGGGTTTAGCTTTCCCCTGCTGGCTTTTCCTGTCTTTACGCTCATGCTGCGCGTGCAGCCGACCTGCAATAATGCTTGCAAAACTGGTCGTTACACCAGATAATTATGCCACTGACAACAATGCTTCGCCATTTTTCGGAAGCAAACCCATGTGCTGTAAACTGTAATTACTGCAAATAGATGTATTGAGCTGACCTACCTTTCACAGAGAATTCTGTTCCGGAATGTTTTGAAACTGCATTGTCTGTTTCAACTGTGATTTTAGAAACTGACTCCCACGACCGTAATAATGAAGTGGATCGGGTTAACCAGTGCATAAGATGATACTTGAAGTGTATGATTTAGGTAATTGTAGTTACTACTTATTACCGTGTTTACTGGTACTGTGCAATATCCCTTAGTGACTGTAACTCATTGTTGTCCTGGGTACCTGTACTATTTATTTCTGTGCTTGCTGGTACTAAGTTAGAGCTTGCAGTGACGGTAACTCATTGTTATCCTGGTACCTGTAATATTTATTTCTGTGCTTGCTGGTAATAAGTTAGAGCTTGCAGTGACGGTAACTCATTGTTACAGGACCCTGACTTCTCGCTGGCCTTCAAGCGCGAGAAGAGGAAGGCCGAGGACGATCTCATTGACAGCCAGGACATCAAAAAGGTCAGTGCCGCACCATGCAGAAATTACTCTACCATATACTATTTGTATAGATATTTTAGCTCATTACAATCTAATTCTTTTCGTTTCTTATGTTCACAGTTGGTTAATATTACAGTTTAACATTATCTCTCACGTTTAGTATGTATTTGTTCAGGATTTATTGACATCTATTTTTAGTTCAGTTAAAGAAATTGAATGGATTTCAGTTTCAAGTGAATCGGTTACGTCGGGTTGTTTTTTACTGCATTCTTTTTTCTAGAATGTGCTCTAGAAATGAATTTTGGCTCTTTTTAACGCATTTTCTCATTTATGGAAAAAATGCACTATTATGCTCGTCAAGTCCGTCTGTCCGTCTCTGTCTGTCCGTCCGTGACTTCACGTTTTCGTCGACGAGGAAATGCGCTCTCTGTCACTCACTGTAGTGAGTACTGAGTTATATTTTTTCTAGAATGTGCTCTATAAATGAATTTTGGCTCTTTTTTTATTGACCGTTTCCCCGTTTAATAAATTTCAACTCTACGAAGTAGACTATCTTGAGCTATTTTTGAGTTCGTTCCGGAATTGACTACCATCATACCGCCATGCAAGTAGCCTGTGCCGGTCTGTATCGGTAGACCAAGGTACGTGGCACTTCAGCGTGGCCTGGGACTGCTACGGCCAGAAAACTTACCAAAGATACAAGATAATCGTATGGCTGTGCGATTTACGCGTCGCATACTGGCGTCTTCGTTGATTTATTCATTTATTCCTTCGATCCGTTATTAGAAAGCCAGTTTGTGAATGCGTTACGAAAAAATCAACTTCTGCAATTTCAACAAACAATTTCTGTTATCGTAGAAAACCTCGCTGGCAGCTCACCGTGTATTTTCTATTGAACCTATTTTTGCGATACCCAAGTGAATGCGAACTTATACTTTTATATTACATTTTTTTTGTGAATAAAAAACCGTCAGTGTCATCGTTTTTTTCTTCAAATATTCTAGTTAATTCGAAGCAAGATAAGATAATCGAGTCACTCGGATCTTTGTCTCACGAATTGATGCTCTTTAGTTTGTCGAAGTTGATCGGCAAGTATCGCGCGGCAAAGTTCAGCGACATGCTCAAGTTCTTACAAAGATCAAGTCTTTTAAACTTAGTTGTGTCTTGGCCTGAAGAGCGACTCTAGTCGGCATCATGTCACGATCTGTTTTATTCACTGTCCCGTGCCTTTATTTGGCCATGTTATTTGGGATTGTGAGTTCAAGATATCTTCATCTATACTAACTTCAACTAAATACTAGAATGGCTCAATATTGTGACATCGAAATGTCAGCTAATCGCCTGCTTTATCTTTATCTCAGGGGCTTTATAGAAATTTGTATCTTTAAAACGGCTTGATTCTGTCTTCTATTATTTTAATAATGCTGAAGGCCAGATTGCTTTGTACCGATCTTATATGAATAATCTGTTTAGTAACGCTCATTCTATACATCTCGTACATCGAGTCTCATCCATTTTATGTTGATATCTGAATTGACTTCCCTCCAAACCTGCGAGGTAAGGTCATTCACAAAACGCGCCTACGTTTCTTACTTTGCCAGGCTTTTCAATGTTCCTTCTAGCTTTACAGCATTACAAACATTTATAGGTTAATTGATGTTCATAATGGATTTTCATAATGATTTCAAGTTGAAATTTTGGTCCAGTCATGACATCGATCGCTACTCTCATCCATTTATCAAATTACAGTTGAAATTCCATTCGAATGACCGTCCACTGAAACAATTACCGAGTAAAATGCGTTAAATTAGGAGGATATTCATTTGCAACTAATTTGGCGCTGTAATTACAAACCTGGAGGGTTTCTTGATCACATTGTGTGGCGTTGAAATCAGAATTACATCGTCTGAGCGAAAAGATTGATTAAAACAAAAGAACTCGATGAAAACATTGCTAATGCACTAGCGTTATCAACTGGTGGCCTAAAGGGTTTCTTCACACCGAATATACAATAAGATTTACAATTAAATTAGATTATTAGCGTCACACTGGGCAATATAGCATACACTGAGAAAATAGTGCGATTTTTCAAATGGCGATTTACATTTTTCTCTTGTGTGAGTCATCTATGACTCAGTTTAACCTGGTAAAAGTGTGTATCAATGCTACGTCCGTTCTTTGCTCGTACGGCCTGTAAGAGAGTGTGTCATTATTTAGATGCTGTGAACCATTTATTGTTCTGAGTGAGCATCGCTTCATGCCGCAGCCGCCGGTAATGAAGCAGTTCATATTAACCTCTCACCACGCTGGTCATTCGCTCGTAGTCAAGACAGCTTTATTACCGTACAGGTGCTTGTCACGCTATCTTGTGCGTGATTAAGACGAAATTACCATCGATTGTGATACATCTTATAAAACTATGTTTATTTTATCAAACGTTTGACTGTTGTTCCGACAAATTTGTAATTGAGTTGCTATTAATTTAGCGGTAATTTCACGATTTAAATTTAGATGCATCCCAGACCGTATTTTTTATAAGTTGCTATTAATTACAGTGTTCTCTCAAGGTATTTATATTTTATATTACTCTGGACTCTTTTACGATTCAAGTTTACGGCGCTCGTATCTGACAGCTGAGTGACTGTTCAACTGCAAACGTGCGATCTACAAAACTCAGTACGTGGCGTCGTTTGGTGTCGTACATTAAGAGCCGCCACCGCTATACTGTCAGCCATGGTTCCGAGGCCGAACTAATAAAATTCGTTCAGGTGTACGGAGCGGCCTAAGTACACGTAGCGGTCCAAGTGCACGCTGCGGATTTAGTACACGTACCTATATATATAGCGGTCCAAGTACACGTAGCGGCCTATATATACGTTGTGACCGATTTATTGTCTGTGATTAGCACGCTGCGGATTTAGTACACTTAGCGGTCCAAGTACACGTAGCGACCTATGTAAACGTTGTGACCAATTTATCGTTTGTGATTGGTGGTTCTAACTTGAAAAGCCTTCACTGATTGGCGGACGGAGTTACAAACGCGTAACTATTTTTGATGGTACGGCCCCTGATCGTCAGCACGAGCTCTGACGTCTTTTGACCGCTTGGTCAAGTGTCTGTGCTTTGAATTATACGATCTCGCGCTAGCCTGCTTGTCACTTGCTTCAATTTATGTTCAGTTTACTGCCCATCAAACTTACTTCATTCTCAGCCACTGCCGCTGGCAATACGGTTCTGTTTGAGAGCTCGTCATGTTTTACGTCACTCTGGCGTCGATTTTTATCACTTTTGTTATGGATTTTTGTGACGTATTACTGTCACTTTCCTTTTTGCACCTCTCGAGCAAACTTCAATAGCTTATATTAGTTTGTAGTCTTTTATTTTGTGCGAAAAAAGTTATCGTGGATGGTGATAACCTGAGGCCGGATTAGAGAAGTAATTACGATCGAGTAATCACCACTCAGCCAATAATTAACTGACAATTTGTACACTAAATCTGCTGATTACCGACGAGCAAATTGTGAAGGTCAAGCAAAATGGAAAATTTCTAGTGGGCTTTAGGGTAACCACCACGTGTGCTTGGCATGTGTTGACAAGTCGGAGAATTCCTTCAAAATTAAGTAGCACTAAGCAGACCGTGGGGTCACGCGCTGTAAGAATTTTCGCTCATATATGCTGAAAAAGCAAACAAGTTTGCACTGTGGGCTGCTGAAATTTTGTCTCGCTATTTGGCATGCTATGCGTTAGTTATAGTAGCCAACACGTGTGTGTGATGCAGCGTTACTAGCCAACACGTGTGTGCGATGCAGCGTTACCAACAAACTTGTGTGTGCGATGCAGCGTTACCAACAAACGTGTGTGTGCGATACAGCGTTTTACCAACACACGTGTGTTGCATGTGATGCAGCGTTACCAACAAGCATGTGTGTGTGATACAGCGTTATACCAACAAACGTGTGTAGTATGTGATGCTGCCTTACCAACAAACATCTATGGGTGATGCTGCCTTACCAACAAACATCTATGGGTGATGCTGCCTTACCAACAAACATCTATGGGTGATGCTAGGTTACCAAACAAAAATATAAAGTGAGCATCAGACCAGACCAGGCGCAATAATCCCCCCTACGAGCCGCGCATTAGCTCCCAAATCTCTCTAGTAAAAGCTCTACCACACCATTACCTCCGCGTCCTCCACTACACCATTACCTCCGCCCCTTTCACCTCACCATTACCTCTACCCCCTACACCCTGGATTATCATGAACGACGAGCTCAGCTCGACGGTACCGTTTACCTCTCCAGCCTCACCATACTCCGCTGCTATACAGCCATACCATACTAAGCTACTCTCCAGCCTCACCATACTTCGCTGCTTTCCCGCTACAACAGAGTAGCTCACCATACTCCGCTGCTATACAGCCATACCATACTAAGCTACTCTCCAGCCTCACCATACTTCGCTGCTTTCCCGCCACAACAGATTAGTTCACCATGCTCCGCTGCTATACAGCCATACCATACTTATAGCTACTCTCCAGCCTCACCATACTTCGCTGCTTTCCCGCCATAACGGAGTAGCTCACCATACGCTGCTGCTATGCCGTCACTTCATACTTCGCTGCTCTCCACTCACCATACCTCCACTGCCGCACCAGACTCCAAGCCACTTTAATTTTCGAGCTTTGCGTCTTTCAGATAGTATTGTCTATAGCCACTTAACATTGAGCATCAAGGTGACAACTGCATCATCACACACAGAACTTTGTTGGTCGAAATCGCTTAAACCTGCGAGGTTGGTCGACGTTTGCATTGAGTTTTTTCGGGTTTTCTACCTAGGTTTTTCTAGTTTTTCTTTCATCTAGATTTTAATTAGTAGTAGTGTTAATTCAGTCACTACAATGTATTCCTGTCAGCAAATTTAGTCAGAAGTTTGCGTTAGTTCTTTCGTAACGTCGTTGACTGACGATTTCGTTACGTCAGTGTTTCACTGACGATAGGTAATAAACAATTCACGAGACA